CCACTGAGTCAGCAGATTCCAGTCCTGCTGACAGCGTCTGACCAGAGGAAATGGGGAGGACGTTTCTGCTTCCTGCAGGACGATCTGGTTCCTGCAGAACTGAAAATGTGACACGAGTCACCTGGAAGCCAGAGCTCAGTTTTTTTACACCCCCGAGAAGTTTTGTAGTGAATTTCTGAACAGACCGAGTGTGCTGCTGCTAGCATGCTATGACCAATGAGTGAATACAAAAATGATCACAGTCACAAATTTACATTTTAAACTTCTTTAAATTTAAACGTATTGAATTAAATGTAGCACATGGACCAAAGCGCCCGTCCACCCTCACATCACCCTTACAGAAGCTCCCGGCTCACAGTCTCTGTGCTGATGTTAACACTGGAGGAGGTTTGAAGCTCAGCAGCTCCTGAGTCAGCAGGACTTTTACACTAACAACTTTTACGCACTCAATGGCACCACTCTGTAACTTCGCATGCTCTTTTACTTCTTGTCTGAGCCGCTGAGGCGCCTGAAAGCTGACGGTGGAATCTAAGAGGGAAGAAAGTTCACAGCCTGCCTCACAGCAGCATCCACACCTGCTCTCTCTCACATGTTTGTAAAGGCAGACTGCGTTGCGGTGCTGGACTTTACACACCTGTGGTAACAGGATCCTTTTTCCATTCTTTAATACAATAGACTCCCCACTACAAATGTTAGGCCTGTTATTTTGCAGCCTTTTAACATTATATGTGGTAAACGGACTGATTCTTGTACAGCACCTTTCTACTATGAGCACTCAAATCACTTTATACAACATGCTTCTCACACATTCATACGGCCTCTTTTGAATATAACATAATGATTAAATAAAAGCTTTTTGGCTCTTTGAGGACGAGCTGGTGTGTCGGTACTGACCGATGCAGTCGGGGCCCCAGTAACCTGGACAGCAGCTCTTTATTTCCACCTCCTTGTAGCACTCCTTGGAGCAGCCACTGAGGGGCAGCTTCATGCTGGGAGTGTTGATGTAGTACCTGCAGAACAGACAGACAGACTGGAGGTAAAGTGGCTGCTGATGTTGGGATCCAGGACACCAAGGCTCTCTCCTCTTAGAGGTGGAGGTGGGTGAGGGAGGAGAGGGGTCCTTATATAGCCTGATTCAGAGGCTCAGTGTGATACGCAGAAGGACTGTTTTGAACCCTGACTCGACAGCAGAACTGTTAACTGTAAATTCAATAGAAAATGATGAAAGAGGTGATGTGGAGATCTTTTAAAGTTTCTTGTGTGAGTTGTGATGTTTGATGTGAAATTGTGGAAATATTTGAATTTGTGCAAAGAAGCTAATCACAGTTTATTGTTTCAACCATCAGTTGAACCACAGTGAGGACTTTGAGTGGACCTGTGCTGTGTGGTGCTCACTTGCAGTCCTGGGCGTTGGATCTGGGCGTGGGTTTGAATCCTGGTGGGCACAAGAACAGCTGGCTGATGGTGCAGGAGTGGCATATTGTGCGAGTGCGGAGCACTGTCGAGTTGGAGCAAATGTTCTGGAAAAAAAAGAAAAGAAAAGTGTCTTTCATCAATGTCTACGCTGTGTGACTGAAACTGTGCTGGCAGTGTGTGGCTGCAGCTCTTAGCAGGACGATTTCCAACCAATCAGGAGCTCAGTTCTCCACACACTGTCAGCGTGCAGGTAAACTAGAAGGTAACAGTGTGGAAAAGTTCAACTCATCACTTTGTAAAACTATTAAACCTCCTCCTCTGGACCTGAAAACCAAAGACTGCTGCTGGTGGCTCGACTGGAACAGGAAGTAAGTGTAATAACTGTAAAAGCAGCTGTGGTTATCTGCTCCATCAGCTCCACCCAGGAAACGGTCAAAGGAGGCAAACAGGACACGGAGTTCCTGGCCGATGATGACTTCCTGTTACAGCCTGCAGGTTCAGATGGGAATTAGCTGCTGACAGATAAACTGGCTCCTTTTTGCCTTTGCTCGGTGACAGTTGCTTGTCAGCGGGCTCTGGCTGTTGAGATAACCTCTGATGTGATTCCCGCTCAGTTTCCAGTATCAGCTTATCTGAACACGTGGCTTCCACTAATCGACCCGCTCTGTGTCGTCTCTATAAGTCGCCAACTTCACTGAAGTTCAACAGTCATCGCATTGCTGCACAGCTATTCCTGTGTGGGCGGAGCTTTAGTCTTTGGCATGTGCGGCTTCTTCCTGCAGTCTCTGCTGTGTTTCTTTGTTTGCAGCTCTGCAGACCTGAGCAGGCTGCTGCAGGTACCTCATACTCCAGCTGTTGGCTGCACCAGCACAGATCAGACTGAAGATCTGTTTATACAGAGCACATTATACTACACAGTACTGCCTGTAACCATGGCAACATTCTGCTTGAGTACCCCACACTAGTTATTTCTCACATTGTTTATGTGAATGTAAAGCTTCTTGAATGAGAGTTGGGGCTATTCCCACTGCGTCCACACTCTCAGGTGACCCCCCCCCCTCTCCAGAAAGTGAACATCAGAGCAAATGATGTGAGCAGTGCTTCAGTCTGCAGCTCATAATATTTCAGTCAGAGAACACATCGCTATGTAAGACATCGGAAAACCAGAAGTTATCACAGATGAAGCTTCAAACAGGACAGCACAACTAAAATAAACAGAGCTCTTTCTGAGCTGATGTGAGGAAGAGTGCTCAGATTCATTTACTCTAGGTTTCACAGAGACGCTGACGCACGACAACCAGCGTCCAAACTTTTACATCCTGAAGCTCATGTAGATTTTTACATCTGAACCGCCGAGTTCAGTTTTAGAGTTTTAAGCTGAACGAACTCCATGAATAAAAACAGGCGGACGAGCTTACCTGTGCAGCAGCTGAGATCTTCAGCTCACTCGTCATCATCATCAGAGAGACACACAGCAGCCGGACGCTCTGCAGGACCTCCATCTCTTCTGCCCTCCAACTTATCCCCACCAACTCTTTTCAGCTCCTGCGCCTCTGAGCCTCCTCCTCCTCCTTTATCATCCCTCATGTGTTTCCTGAAAAACCAAACTCAAAGGAAACTGCCGAGTCTGAGGTACACACTGACCCATACATGCACACACACACACACACACACACACACACA